CGAATGTCATAGTGACAGCTGATTTTGGCAGTTTCAGAGAAGTTAAACATCTGCTAATAATCAGTATTGTTTTGAGCTTCATTCAAAAACCTTGATTTTTACTGTGTTTGAAATGTCGTTTGTGTTAACCAAGCAGCATTTGCGGGAGATTTTAATTTAATTGGAAGAAAAGTGCGGCTGAAGCCCATCGAATGGTTTCGACGTTTCAAAGATGGAGATTTCAGCATTGAAGACAAGCCTCACTCTGGACAGCCAAAAAAATTCGAAGACAAAGGATTAGAGGCATTACTCAAACGCAAGAGGAGCTTACAGAATCATTGGGGATAACTCAACAAGCCGTTTCTGTACGATTGAGAGCCATGGGAATGATTCAAAAACAAGGAAATTGGGTTATGAAAGGCAATTTTTCACTTGTGAACATCTGATTCAAAGACAAACAGAGAAAAGATTTTTTGCATCGGATTGTGACTAGAGATGAGAAGTGGATATTCTACCCCAAGAAGAAAAAATACTACGCTAAACCCGGTCAATCTTTGCCATCGACCTTAACATTAACACCATGGCCAAACATTCATGGTTCGAAGATCATGCTCTGTATCTAGTGGGACCAAAAGGGTCTTGTTTACTATGAGCTGCTGAAATCTTGCGATTCCATTATGGGCGATCGGTATCGGCTACAATTGATTCGTTTGAGCCGAGCATTGCGAGAAAAACGGCCGAAATACGAGCAAAGACATGATAAAGTTATTCTTCTTCATGACAACGCTCGGCCTCATGTCGCTAAAGTTGTAAAAAAATATTTGGAAACGCTCAAATGGGATGTTTTACCGCATCCGCCGTATTCCCCGGACATTGCTCCTTCTGATTACTGGTTGTTCCGAAGGATGCAGCAAGTCACCGGTTCACTTCTTTCACAGAAATCGAAAATTGGGTTCAAAATTGGATCGCCTCCAAAGACGAGTCATTTTTTCGAGATGGAATTCGAAAATTGCCTGAGAGATGGGAAAAGTAGGCAGCAATGGACAATACTTTAATTGATCTGTTAATTTATTTTGTTTGAAATAAATGCACAAAAAAACGGACCGAACTAACTTATACTCCCTATATATTATATATGATTTCATAACAATGTGTATAAGAATATTATTCTACATTTATCTTATATTCTGTATTTCAATGTATTAATTTTTCTTTGAGTATAGCGTCATTTCTATAATAGTTTTCGATTTCCATGAAAAAAAATATATAAAATGTAAGAATAAAACGATCCCTGTGAATGGTTGCGAAAAAGTCAAAGTTGTACCAGTTGTTCGTAATGTAATTTTGATTTCTATCCTATGATCTAACATGTAATTATCTCTAAAATTTCTGTAATCCAAATTGTTTTGCAGGCTTCAAACTGGAATGAGAGGTGCCTTTGGTAAGCCTCAAGGTACTGTAGCCAGAGTACATATTGGTCAGCCTATTATGAGCGTGCGTTCTTCTGATCGTCACAAGGCAGCTGTCATTGAGGCTCTGCGACGTGCCAAGTTCAAGTTCCCTGGTCGCCAAAAGATTTACGTGTCGAAGAAATGGGGTTTCACGAAATACGATCGTACCGAATACGAGGAACTGAAAATGGCAGGCCGCCTTGCCCCAGACGGTTGCAATGTCAAGTATCTACCAGAGCATGGACCACTCGAAGAGTGGAAAAAATTCAGGAAAGTACTTGCTGCAGCTTGAATAAACATGGAACATTTTGGATATTGAATTGAATAAAATATATAATCAGAAAAAAGCGAGTATATATTTACTAAAAATCCTAGAATAACTTAAAATGTAATATCCAGAATTATTTTCTATTTTTATATGAAGGTTGGGCTAATAGCGGTTTCTACTACATTAAAAAAAAATTCTTAATTAACA